TGAATGGAAGATGCAGAGCATGCACAAGGCCCTGTGTTCCACCTTGGCAGGAGGCAAGTAGTGAGAGAGCTAAATGAGAGAGAGAATTTTTGATGTCAGTTTCAAGATTAGGGGCTTCAATTATGCGCTCTCTACATATCTTAACTATTTCATCTCTCTTGAATATTTGTTATTACATTTTTACTTTAATCTAGTTTAAATGTGTCAGGTAAGTAGTTTAATAACAAAACACTCCTGACATAAAGGGTGGCAGATAACCAAATGCCATCTTCCTTTAGACACTCTTGCAGTGCCTCAGCTTCCAGGCTCATATTCCACTGTATTTAAGGGATTATGGAACTGATCTTACTGTGGGAAACCAGCTATGTACAAAGCTGGCACCAAATGACCAGGGGAGATGGAAGTGTCCTCCTGGGACTTGATACAGTGAAGGCTCTCTGCCACACTGCAGAATATTGGGATAATGTTTGAATCCCAAGGGGCACAGAGAAGAGGATGTCACTTCTTTTGTTTGTTTGTGTTTACTGAGGAAGTCATTTATCTTGACTTTATTTTTAGTTTTACACTTGGTTTACAATTTGACAGAACAAGCCCATGCAAAGTGAAACAGAATAGCAAATTGATGGTGATCTTCAAATATGTTAAAGCTTGCCACAGAGAATAAAGTAATGATTCTCTGTGTCGTCTGGGGATAGAACAAGAGCAACTGTGCATAAACTGCTGTGAGGTAAATTTAGGCAAAACAGTAGGAAAAAGCTTTCAAGCTTGCTAAGAACTGGAATTGTTCTGGATGTCACAGAATACCCACCACTGGATGTTTTTAAGAAAAAAGACAGCAGAAACAGTTCAGATGTGATTTTTAACTTTTTGTGCATTGGGCATAGCAAAAAAACTAAATGACCTCCTGGAATTTCTTTTAGTACTTTGTTCTAGTATTTTATGAAAAGGTCATGTAGCTATGAAGCAGAAATACAAAGACTTGTATATCACTTATTAGAACCTATCTTCTCCCCATAACAAGGCTAATAAATTAGATCACCACACCAGGCAGCCCTAGGAAAATGCTCAAAAATACTCAAGTAGTTCTTTGCCTGGAAATATGCACACACCACTGTACAATTTTTCAAGTGGAGTCAACATCTCAGCAAATCACATTGTTATGTTGTGTTATGATGCATGATGGTTTCATAATAATATGACATGTCTAAATGATAAAAACTTGGCTTCCTACCAGAAATGTAAAGCAGTTTATATTTTTTGTTGCGGTTTGTTGTTTGTTTGTTTTTTTCCCCATGGGAGAAAATCCTTTATCAGTTCATATAACAAATTTCCCTGAAAAAAAAAAAAAAAGGCAGCACACCAATTTAATAAAAAGTATTCCCCAAGTCTGTAATTCTGAGAAAACAAAAAAATTCCAAGGATTTTAGAAGCAGAAGAACAGTGTATCATTCCATACAATAAAACTATAGAAATAAATAATGAACAACAGAACTGCAAATTGAACGCCATCTTAGAATTTTTGGAAACACCCAGAACAGTTCCAAAACCCAGAATACTTTTTATGCAGTAAGGTCAATTGGCACTAATAGTATTAGTAGCCAGGTTTTCCTCACTGCAAGGCCAGTCAGATAAGTAAATAACTATTTAACCTTATTGTTTTTATTTGACACATTAATATAAAATCGGCAAACATCTTTCAGACACAATGTTCTCCTTAGTTACAAATAACTCACCTCGAGATTCTTTTTCACTTGCAACTTTTGTAACTACTAGATCTCTTTTAATGTTACTGTTTTTCATAAACAGTATAGCTTTTGGCTCTCAAATTGCACCTTGAAAAGTTGCCATGACAGCATGGAGGATTCTGTTCAGCTTGCAATCCTCTGTATGCTGTGCTGTTACTTTCTTACCAAAGTCTCTTAGCACCTGCCCAGACATGCACTGGGCAATGTGATTAACTCCTATCACATAAGAGCCATTCTTTGCTCATCATTTCTCTGTGTGAATGAAATAGTGTTTAGCATTTTGTACCACCAGCATGTTTGGTTTGCTGCTGTTATTTTAAAGCATGTTACTATGTCCTCAGGGTAGAAAGGCAAGGACAAAAAAATTCTGTCTCAAGAAAATTAGAAGGTGGCATGACATGTGATATTCCTCTGGTCCCCTGAGAGCTCACTTTACAGTCTCGTACCTCTTTATCCCTTCAGCACTTTAGACTTACTCAGCAGCCTATTTCTGAAGTGCCCTAGAGAAAAAGACAATGTAGAAAGATGGAGCAGGAGGGCTACTGATGGATTATCACCATCCTTCCACCTAGTAACTCACATGCTAGGCTGCTGGGAGCCCCAGCCACACCCTGGCTATGGCCCGTGTAGCAGTTGAAGGAGTGAAAGTAATACTGTCCCTACTTACTTTCAGCATGAAATTCTCTATAAATAAACACTGAACTTGGTATGGAACTAAAAATTCAATTCAGAATAAATTCTGTGCTGCTGCCACCATGCATCAAGTTTACAAGAAAGATCAATTTAGGCATCAAAGGATTTTTCCTTTAACTTAGCAAGTCAAAGTTTTGAGATCACAACAAGTTCTTGTTGGCTCATAAATATACTGTCTGCATTGCTATGGGTCAAGCTGGGACTTGTTCCTGAATCACTCACCCAACCCTAATTCTAATAGAATACCTCTGAATAGTTTTATACTAATAACTGCTCTGTAGAGACTCTTAAAATTATAATATATTAAAGACCCATCAGCCTATCAGAAGAACATGCAATTTTATGTTCATTACTTCTTGGTTCCCGACTATAGAATTTGGATGGTTGCACCTCAATTAAAAGTTGAATCAAAGTTAATATAATTTAAATAAAAACTTCAATAAAAAGTTAAATTTCTGTTCTTAATAGCATTAATACCCTCTAATGACCGCTACGGTCATTACCACTAGATGACTGACCTTCTTGAACCTCTCCCCACATAGAAACCTTTCTCCCAACACAGTCAATTATTTAGCGGTAATGAGTGCTCTGTAGGAGATTATTGTTTAACCAAGTACCTTGACACACTGCTTTTTCCCTGTTATCTCTATTCTTCAACAAATTGTACATCTTTTTTCTATTGTAGGCTTTTCAGTTCTGAGAATAAAGGTTGTGGTCTTATTCTTTCCAATGCAGAAGTTCACCATGTAATTGGCAAAGCTTCAGATAGAATTAAAATCTTGAAAATTAGGGTGCTATGAAACACTGTGAGCAGCAAATGTGGCCCTGTAAGACACAGCAGTTCTGAGGGCAGCTTTGAGAGGGAAAAAAAAAAAAAAAAGGAAATTTTGTTGGGGATGAAAAGACAGAATTCTCTAACAGCATGTGGACAAAAGGAGGAAAAATAAAAATGAATTAAGAAAAGAAAGATTCTGGGGCAAAAAGGAGATGAAAGGAAAAAGTGAATGAAAGAACAAATAAAGAAAAGCAAGGACAGTAAAGGAGACAAATTAAATTTGGGTGGATAGAATTCATTTTCATAAAGAAGGAAATCTTTTGGCAAAGTCCTGGAAACACTAAATGTTGAAAGATCTTTGTTGCTGTAGGAGTGTGAGAATTACTGGTTCAGTGAGTTCAACACGAGCCTGGAAGACAAAACTCCATTTTAATTCCAGCTAGCCTAATGACTGCCTATAACTGTGGGGAAGGCTCTTCACCCATCTGCCTCAGTTTCTTTCTCTGTAAAATTTAAAAAATACTTTTTTTCAAAAAGCTTTCTGAAGTTTTATGTATGCTGTGTTCAAAACCGCCAGGCACTAGTAGCTACTAATAGCATTAACAATGTCCTTTTCCTCATATATTTCTTAAAGGTGTTAGGCAGGTTGTTTTGATTTCAGGTTTTTAATAGAAGATTCATGAAGCAACCTTCCAATTCAAATGCTCATGTTGAAGTATTGCAAGCATTTTACACAAATTTAGTTAGAAATCACTTTTTTTTTTCCTGAAAGAAATCTTGCCTAATCATTTTAATAGAGCAAGCATATTCTAATCAGTTTATTTTTGAATGTTCTGATCACAGTTGTTCCCTCTTGCTCCTCAACATATGATAGGAGTTATACTCAGATTGTGGAACAAAAGTGATGTGATGATTTCTCATAGAAATACATATATGAGTGTTGAAATACAAATATGAGCGATGAATCTCATAGAAATACCACTGTGCTATACTTAGAAATAAGATGATAAAAGTCAGATACTTAAAATCTGCATGACACTGTTATACTTACTTATTCTATGTGAGGGTATTTTGGCACAAAATACATGAAAAGAAATCCATATAATGCCTTAGTCCAGTGGAAAAGAATGTCCTAAATGAGTCCTTTGCTCATTTAAAAGCAGTAAATATCTTTTTAATGTCCTGGATAAATTCCCATCTGCTCTCTTTCCTTAGAAAAAGGCCTTGAATACTGAAGGGGGCAGGGAGAGTAATACATTTTCCTATTGCCAACACTACTGCTATTTAGAAGACAACACAGGAGACATTTCTTCAAATTATTTTTCTACTCTAATATGCTGTCTCCTAAAACCCCAGCTTTTTTCATAGTATATCTGTTATGTTGATTGAGGTTTCTTCTGTAATGGATCTTACTTTACTGAGTGAGGGGACAACAGAGCACAACAGGGAGAAGACCTGCAAAGCAAACTGCCTGTGACATAAGGCCTATCTCAAAGGGGTTAAACTAGATTTTTTTCTTAATGAGAAGACTGTAGGAAAGTGTAATATTCTATTCAGTTATAGAAAATACTACAGATTGGATTGCTGTATATAGAACCTTGTCAAGTACACCGTTTACTACAGTGGAAGAAAACAGAGCAAGAAGTATTATTTTTTTTTTATTATTTGTATAAAATATATTGTTCTTCCAGGCTGTAGTGAAATAGTTGCTATTTAATTGCAGAGAAATCCTAAGAAGGTTACAGCAGTGAAACATTAAAATTCTAAGGGCAACTAATAACATTAAAACTTTATAGCCCCAGATAGAATAATTTAGACAAAAACAACATGAACATATGTTTTGTGTAATAATAACAAACATTTATAGCTGTCAAGAGAGAAAAACACAGGTTTATGCACACCTTAATGGCGTGCATGGGTGAGCATGAGTATATTTAAAACATAATATATTACAAAATTGACAGCAGGCATGACTCTTCTGGGTACTATGTTAAATCAATGAATAAATTACCAAAAGTGTGTTGTGGCTGTTTGGATGTGTAATTGAGCTTAACGTATGTAGTGTTATTTCAAAAGAAACTGTTCAAGGAGTTTCTACACCAATCCACTATGCATCTTTACTAAGCTGTTTACAAATAACAATAAATGAAACTGTCTCACAATAGGAAGGAAGTTTAGTTATATGCATTACATAAATGGGAAAAAAGTTAATTTTAATATGTTTTTTAAGAATTAAAAACAAACTTATTGTAATATTGCTAGGATTTACTGAATTGGAAATCAACATCTTTCCAGGTTCAGTTTTAGATTTATTTTAATTACCTGATACTCTACGAACAAAAGTCTTTGTAGCAATACATGTCAGGAATAAGTCCACTGAAATAAATATGGATGCTTCATAGGGTGTCTGTCCTAAAGAATAAGAATCAAGGCCCAAATGAACAAACTAGCAAAACATGAACATATATTCCATTTATTTCCTTAATACCTTTCCTGTCCAACAGATAAACAACCTATTTTTAAAACTTTTTATTAGATTCAAAATCTATGAAAGTAAATTTTAAACCTTATTGTTGTTTACCAATTAATAACAAAAATAACACGTTTGCAAAATAACCCATTAATTGTCATATCCAGAAATAAGCCGGGCATATACTTCCATCCCTTGTTTCAGGGCTGTTTCATCTTACTACACCCAAAATTTGTAAAATGATCCTATTTTTTTGCATTCCTCTTTATATTTTGCTGTTCTAGTAGTACTTGGTTATCATACAATGCTCTAAACTCTTGCACCTCAAATCTAACATGGGAAAGGCAGCCAGTGAAAGTTAATACTTAACACCCTTGCAGTATCCAGGAAAATTTGCCAAACAAACAGCAAGGACGGAAAAGACAAGCTGACCTCAATTCCTTTCCCCACTTCCTCTGAACTGAAATGATGGTCCTAGAATGTAAGCAATAACAAATGCACCATTCTAGACTTCTGTTGCGTGTCATACCTTTAAATCATGGTATTTCAGAACACATAGTGCCAAACTCTAAAGTCAATCTGAACTTTTTCCCTTGCAATTTTCTCCTTTCTCACCCCTTTTCTCCATTTCATAAGGGATGATGTGACCTGTCAGCATCAACTATACTTGTGGTGTTCTTAAAGCTCATAAACTCAAGGATTAAAGCATTCTGAGGTAAATGTTGGCTCTTTTCTATAACGTGACTGCAAAGAGGAAAAAGAGGATGAAGAAATAAAGTGTACATGCCCAGATGAGCTATTTTTTCTCTCTGGCCTGATGATGGTTCATAAAGCTTGCTATGGGGCAATTATAAAAGAATACGGCTTACCACCTGTCTCCTGGTCAGAAATCCCATTTTACATTTAAAGCCATCTTAGGTTAACTGTCATTAATGTTTAGAGCTGTCCATGGGATGTGACTAAGTGCACTACTGCCACCGATATTTTTCTGCGCTTACTTCCAGGTGCTTAAGGAACAAGTCCAAATTTCTAAATGCAATACAGTCCCTACTGTAACTGCCATATTAGTTACACTACCCTAGGTAAGTATAACTATCAATAAATTAGGATAATCTGAAATATTATAGGAAAGGCTTAATCAAAAGCCCTGGCAAAATACTTAAAACACACACACACAAAAAAAAAAAACAAACCCTATCCACGAACTGCTAGGCCTGACATACAAACTTGCATGTGATTTTAGGGTGTTTTCATATCTAAGTCTATGTTTCATCAAATACTCTACTGAAAACATTATTTGGGGCTTTTTTTCATAATGAAAATACATCTAAAGTCAGGTTGTACAACGCTCACCAGTGTATTCTGTTCCCTTCTCATAGATTACCTTAAAAATATAGCAAAATCTGTAACACAATTCTGGACCTGAAGCTTAAATGTAGCGAAGAGTACTATGCAAGAACAAGTAAGATTTAAAATGAAGGATGTCCAAGTAGAATTTTTCTTTCAAACATTGTTTTACCCGACTTCCCTTTTGGGACCACCCCAGTGAAGAATAGCTGTTTTAAGTACACAACTGAGACTAGAGCTGAAAGTTTCTATAGATTAAACTATAGCTAGATGATGTTCCAAGTCTAAAACAGGAACTGAATTAAAAAAAAAAAAAAAAAAAAGAAAATGTTATCCAATCACACTGAATATAAAAGTAATTAAAATACTTTAAAATGAATTAAAACATGCAGAAGATAAAATTTACCTTTATCTAACAGTATCTTTGTTCATATCTATGTTCCTTTTGTTCCCTATTACATATTTAATCACTCTTGGAGATCAACCATAACAGCAAAAACTCAAACACTGAACTGATAATTAAACACAGTAATATTTATAAGATGTTTATTCTGTAGATATGAACACTTAATTTAATGCACAAATGCAATGAAAGTAAAATTGCTTTTTAAAGATCAGAGGAGTGCTATGCCAGTCATTTTTCAATTGAATAAAGCAGTAATATTTTGTTTTCAGAGCAGTAATATAATTTTAATAAAATGACAAAGAAAATGCTATTTACAGAAGCAATAACCTTCAGTAATGACAATTGCCAATAGCATACATACTAAGCTACCACTTTTAAAGTACAGGATTTTTAGAGGCCTATATCAAAAGGGAAAACCTAGCTTTTAAAATATTTAAAAAAAAAAAACACCAACACACTAAAGCCTGCACTACCAGAGGTAATCAGGATGAAAAGCAGGAGGTGATACTGCATTGCTACTATCAGAGCTAGAAAAAGAAAAATAGTCTAGTGAAGAAACCGGAAAACGACTTTACAAGCCAGACCTCTAGCTCTTATGCCACATTAACTGAACAATCAAAAATATTTACCATTATGATGACTGGTAAAAAACAAATGGGTAGAACACACACTCAAACTTTATTGTTGGAGCTGACCAGCACCAATTTTGTCTGCAAATCAGCTACGATGTCTATACAGCACTAGCTTTCAGCCCTCCTGCACTTTCACCTGGGTCTGACCAGGCAGTGAAGCTTGTGAGAAGTGCCTCCCCCCCCACACCAGTATTTTGTTTTAGTTGTGATCCTGATGAAATCCTGAACTGTTTTAAAGAGTAACAGATGGAATGGAAGGTGAGGAATCAGGAATAAGAAACAAGGAAGGAAAGTTAACTGAAAAGATATGAATTTAAAATAATTTGCTTCGTTAGTGATCACTAACTATAAAGCCAAAAACAAACTTGTTCCACCAAGACATTTTCAGTCAGCTAGGATTCCTTCATTTCACTTGCTTATTTATGGATTTATTTTAGTGTGTTCCACCAACTTCTAAATTGAAACTCAAGAACTAAATAAAGAAAAAAGCTCTGTTTCTCCTGTGGCTGTAAAAACTTGAATGGGCACACAGGATTCTGAGCCCACACAGCAAAGGAGTACCTTTGACCAGCTATCCTAGAGTGAGAGAAGTTCAATTTTCACTAAAATGAATCTGGGTATTTATACGTGCATGTTACTAAAATCTTATTTCTCTGGAAGTCTGAGAATCTTGTGAAACAACAGGCAGACATGAATGAGAAAAGCCTTACGCTAATATTCACTGCTGAAGATACATTCTATCAGAAATAACAGAACAAAACTACATCAGTATGGTTGTATAGAGAAAGCAGAATGAACAGATTGGCAAAATAGAAAATTAAGGTGTTTGAGTGGTTAATATTCAGTTTTAAGTCACTGTCGTGGTTTAAACCCAGTCAGGTAGCTCGTTAACTCACTCCCCCCCCTTCTTTCCCTCCCCCTGCTCCTGGAGGGACGGAGAGGAGGGTCAAAAAGAATGCAACTCCCACGGGTTGAGATAAGAACAGTTTAGTAACTAAGGTATAACACAAATCACTACTGCTACCACCAATGATAATAATGATAAAGGAAATAACAAGGGAAGAGAATATAACACCTCACCACCAACCGACCGATAACCGACCAAGCACCGACCGATACCTCCTCCAACCCTGCAGTCTCCCAGCCCTTCCGGCTAACTCCCAGTTACATCCTGGGCATGACGTGCTGTGGTATGGAATACCTCTTTGGTCAGTTTGGGTCAGGTGTCCTGTCTCTGCTTCCTCCTGGCTTCCCCTCCTCCCTGGCAGAGCATGAGGCTCACAAAGTCCTTGGTCAAACCAAAACATCGCTATCAGTTCTGTTCCCAGGCCGAAAGTCAAAACACTGCACTGCACCAGCTACCAAGAAGGAGAAACATGACTGCTACTGCTGAACCCAGGACAGTCACTTAAGATAAACGTGTCCATATGAACACATGCACAAATACACTTGTGTTTCTGTATTTTCAAATACAGGCCAAACTCAGCTGGGAGTTTTTCCTAAATAAAGCTTGTCAGAGTCAGTCCAGTTATGCATGTGAAGTTACAATAGCCTAACATACTTTCAGAGTTTTAGATAATAGTGTTCAAAGATTCAAATAGCACTATGATAAAATTTGCCCCTTGGGCATATGCCAGTTTAAATATCTGTTCTCACCATGTTCTCAGCCTGCGCTTGTGGAGTGATTTAGATTTAAAACATCTTTCAAACTGAACCTGATCTATGTTTTAATAGAAAGTAAATTTCCTTATTCTTAGAGTAAAAAATTCGTAATTTTTTTGCAAACTTTTTAAACATATCTGTTGCTATTAACAGTGATGGTTGTATAAGAGCCAATAGTTGCCAAAAGTAATCAATATACAGTATCTAGAAATAACAAGGTGTAAAAATTACAGAAGCATTTTATAAATACCACAGATACCTTGGAGTCCTCCTTCACACTTTCAATTAGAATAAGACTTCTGATATTGGTTTAAAAATGCAGCTGTATCTTATAACCAGATTGAATATTATGCTTAACAAGAGATGCAATTTAGCTCCAAAAATATGCTTTAGCTCTCTACACTTTATACTTGATAGTGAGCTTAATAAACCAAAGATACTTTAAGATTCAATGGGAAAAAATAGGGGCTCTGCAACCATTTTAGAAATTTGGCTTGTTAAAGATTATTAAAATTATTTTAGCTACCATGAAAACAATACTGTCATACAGAATTTGAAACAAATATGTAAGGAAGTTGATGGATAGATAAGTAAACAATCTCTGGGGGCTAAAATGGGATGCAGGACTGCTCAACAATGACTTCAGGGACATAATTGCATTAAAAATTAGAAAAATATTTAGTTAAATTGGGATATAGAGAAGTTTTAAGAGGGCTCATGTAACATGAAAAAAGAGGTTTAGGATGGAGCTCATATTCACTTGTCTTCTATTGAAGGCCAAATACTGCCTGCTTAGCTTCATTCTTTTCTCTGTGAAGGGAGGTCCTGAATTAAACACAAAATTGTTTCTCCTGCTCACTAAAAGGCACACAAGGCACACAACTAACAAGTCAGCAGAAACAGCTTCCAGCAAATAGCAGTGAAACTACCATGCAGAAGCTGACTGCACATCCAACAGCCCTAAATCTTTTGGGGGCACCTCTGATGTTTTGTTTTCAATCATTCAAAGAAAAAAAAATCTACAACTATTTAAACAAAAGAAATATTTTCAAAATCTGCATCAGAAAGGTACTAAAGGTACCAAAAATCTGTTTTCTTTCCAGCTACACTAAAATTCTCATGTAAAATTTTCCAACTAATTCTCAGTCTACCATACTTTCATGAAAGATTTTTCTGCCCAGTTGCTATAATCACATCTTTGATACCCTTCAGCAGAGCTCATTTATCTGAATTTCTTGTCTTAAGACTCACTATAAGTCAGCCACATTGAATTTTACATATCCAGTCTGTCCTATTACCGAGGCCAGCTTCTGCTACTACACTTACTTTAAAACACTTTTCTGTTTCCTTTCTTTTGTCCATTCTAATACGGTGTGTAAAATGATGTTTTCACCTCTCAAATCCTTCTTGAAGATACTTTTTGTTACAATGACGGTTAGGTCTGTGCAAATTCTAGGTGATGTCTGTAACACTAAAAATACATCACTTACAAAGCAAGGTATTAAAAACTAGCAAACTGAGGAACCTGAAGTGCCTAGTTGCGCTTAAAGACACAGATATTCCTTCCTCTTGCTTCTTTTTTAGGTTCTTTTCATTGTTGTATCAACATGGCTTGTTTTGATTAGCTTGTAAATTCTCACTAGATATTTCCAATCCTATATTTGGATAACAACTAATATAAAAATAACTCAGTTGTGTTTCACATACTCCAGTAAAAACTCTAAAAGAGAGGCTTATTCCTTGCAAAACCAAACTTGTCTACTGATTTACAGAAGGATTTTGTAAATACCACCACCCTTTCTATCTACTTGATCAACGTATCTTTGGTTCAAACCCTCACCATAGAAGCTGACAGATCAATACTGTAGTGTCACATACTAAAATACCTAAAGCCAAGTAAAATAATAACTGTAGAAGCATTTTTTCCTGGTAGAGCAGCATCAACAGCATTGCTTGTACTTAAAAGTGAGATCACAAGTATCTTTAGTTTAGACTTCCAAGTTCCAAAAGATTCAGAATTGAAATGTCACATGAATGATTTTAAACTGTTCAGCTGTTAGGCACAATTCTACTATTTATGTACAGACAGCATTTTAAATATTCAATGATTTAAGATTATGCCTCAATGGCAACATAGCAGAACCTTCTGTTCCAATTACAGGAAATCACTTCCCCTGTTACCATCTTTTGAAGTAGCGAATGGTGAGCCACAGACTTGCTGTAATACTTTTCAGCACTGAAATACTTTCTGAGGTATTATAAGGTGCTTTATTAATCAGTGAAAAGTAGTAAATATTTAACTGTGCCCAAGACTATCCAGTTGTTCTGAAGAGAAGATACTAATAAGTTCAGCTCAAACTGCAAAGAATTAAGGTGGCAGATGGTAATTACTAATAATGGAAATAAGCCTGGTTAGAGGTGGTTGAAACTGTGTGATCTATAAGGTGTTGCAATCACCGCATAAAACTCTCTTGTGTCTAGATGGGAATGTTCCTCATTATAAACACATCAGACAAAAAAAAAATACTTCTTCTAAAGCATAAATAGCGACTTTCCTTGTACATTTATTTTCCAAGGAAAGA